AGCAATCTTGATCTTCAATTAAGCTTGACTTGGTACACATGCGGATGAAGCTTGAACTTGATCTTTAACTTGAATTTTATAGGCTTCAACCCGACATTCCGCCAATCTCCTTTGGATATCATCGTTGAAGCGCAATTCCATCCATCCTCCAACAACGTTGTTTGTCTATAATACATAGGAATGCACAAACACTAGATAAACAACATTAGTAGTAAATTGTTTGTTAAACATCATCAAAACAAGAAGGCCAACAGTCTCAGCCAAGGCCAAGATACCCGCGGTTGGTCATTCTGATGAAAATAACCACAAAAGTCAACGCCGGACGATTCAAAACCCTAGGTTAACGCTGATCAACGCATAACCCTAGGTCAATGCCAGTCAATGTATTGCGATGAAAAAATCAATGCCAGGCGATTCGAAACCCTAGGTTAACGTCGGTCAATGTGTAACCCTAGGTCAACGCCAGTCAACGCGTTGTAATAAAAAAATTAACGCCGGGCGATTCGAAAAACCATAGGTTAATGCCGATTAACACATAACCCTAGGTCAACGCCAGTTAATGCGTTGCGATGAAAAAGTCAATGCCAAGCGATTCAAAACCCTAGGTTAACGCCGGTCAATGTGTAACCCTAGGTTAACGTCGGTCAATGTGTAACCCTAGGTCAACGCCAGTCAACGCGTTGTAATAAAAAAATTAACGCCGGGCGATTCGAAAAACCATAGGTTAATGCCGATTAACACATAACCCTAGGTCAACGCCAGTTAATGCGTTGCGATGAAAAAGTCAATGCCAAGCGATTCAAAACCCTAGGTTAACGCCGGTCAATGTGTAACCCTAGGTTAACGCCGGTCAATGCGTAATCCTAGGTCAACGCCAGTCAATGCGTTGCGATGAAAAAGTCAACGCCAGGCGAGCCGAAACCCTAGGTCAATGTCGGTTAACGCGTAACCCTAGGTCAACGTCGGTCAATGCGTTGTAATAAAAAAGTCAACGCTGGACGATTCGAAACCCTAGGTTAACGCCGATCAACGCGTAACCCTAGGTCAATGCCAGTCAATGCGTTGCAATGAAAAAATCAACTCCAGGTGATTCGAAACCCTAGGTTAACACCGATCAACATATAACTCTAGGTTAACGCCAATCAACACGTTGCAATAAAAAGGTCAACGCCGGGTGATTCGAAACCCTAGGTTAACACCGGTCAACGTGTAACCCTAGGTCAACACCAGTCAACGTGTTGTGATAAAAAAGTCAATGCCAGGCGAGCCGAAACCCTAAGTCAATGCATAACCCTAGGTCAACGCGTAACCCTAGGTCAACGCTAGTCAACGCGTTACGATAAAATTATCATAACGGGGTGATTCGAAACCTTAGGTTAACGTCAGTCAACGCTTAACCCTAGGTCAATGCCAGTCAACGCGTTGCGATGAAAAAATTAACGCCAGGTGAGCCGAAACCCTAGTTCAACGCCGGTCAATGCGTAACCCTAGGTCAACGCCAGTCAACACGTTGTGATAAAAAAGTCAACGCCGGGCGATTCCGGTCAATGCGTAACCCTAGGTCAACGCCAGTCAACACGTTGTGATAAAAAAGTCAACGCCGGGCGATTCGAAACCCTAGGTTAACGACGGTCAACGGGTAACCCTAGGTCAACACTAGTCAACGCGTTGCTATGAAAAAGTCAACGTTGGGCGATCTGAAATCCTAGGTCAATGCCGATCAACGTGTAACCCTAGGTCAATGCCAGTCAATGTGTTGTGACAAAAGTCAATACGACTCAATATATTATGATGGAGATAGTCAGTTGAAAGTCAACTCGACGATACGAGCCAAAATTAACTCACCGGTTTTGATTCCAGATTTTGATGACGACCAGACGATAAACGCAGCGCCGGGAGAACTTCAGCTATTCGTCAAAACATTGAATAGATTGAAAATCAAAGGAGTCAAGAATATAAACTAACTACTTGTCCTTTTACATCGACTGAAGGTTGGACCAATCATATCCAAAGTATTTTAGGCTAATCTATAAAAGAAACGAGACTGAAACACTTTGGAGGGGGTATCTGTAGGCGTCAAAAATTATCTATAGGTCCCCACACGCGGCTCGAGATAGAGAGAAGATGATGAACATCACTATTTAAGTCATAGAAGCTCATTTGACTTCAACAAGCACACGGAGTGAGTCGATGAACTATGTGAAGCAACAGAACAACAGAATAACGGAAACACAAGTTGATCGGGAGCCCCGCGTCGCTTACGAAAGGTGAAGTGTCCCTTGTATCCTATTTACTCCACATGTAATTCAACCATGGGAGCTTATAGATATACTCATTAGCTTTCCAACGCATCTTGAATTGCGTCATTCCGAGTTCGGATGATGAAAATATAGCGGAAACGGATAGAACGGACAAAACTCTCCAAGCCAAACCTTGGAGAGACACCAAGAGGTGTCTCGGCCAAGGCTTGGCCAGAGACACCAATGGGTGTCTCGGCCAAGTCTTGGGAGACACCAATTGGTGTCTCGGCCAAGTCTTGGCTGAGACACCAAGGAGTGTCTCAGCCCAAGCATGGCCGAGACACCCACAAGTGTCCGCAGACCCGAAAATCCGGTTTTGGGCGGTTTGAAGCTGTTTTTCGATCCTCAACCGCCTATATTTGTTCCAACTAATCTGAATCTATCCAAGAATGTGGTTAAATAGTTATAACTAAAGATAAGAGTGAATTGATCATTCTTATCTGAACACGGGGCTCCGAAAACCTATAAATACGGCCCCAGGACCTTCATTTTTTTAGAGATCTGGAATTCTCGAGCGTTGGTGAAGCCCTACCGGATTGAAGCCTGAAGGTGCACGAATTTCAGAACAGAGGAGGAGATTAATCGAGTTCTTCAGCACAGGAAAGAAGAGTTCGTTAGATTTGCAGTTCCCGTGTTCGTCCTTTAAGATTACCCATTTGTGGTGATCTTAAGAAGAGCAATTATCTCGTTGTTACCGAGATAAGCGCTTCGGCTTCTTGATTCCTTCGCGAATCGATGAAGCTTCGGATCTGATCTGATCGTCTGGTGGTCCACGGATATTGACGTCCCTGTCACCGGCCAAGAACCCACACAAGCAAGAGACGATAAACGAATCTTGTGTTTATTTTTAAGAGAGTTATAATTTTTTTACTTTTGTTATTTGAATTCGTTGTAAACGACTAAAGTTATAATGAAATCAATCACAAAGGCAACTTTCGAAGGAAACAAGCTTCGATAATGAGGTATACCCTACATACGATGATTTACATTCTAAATTTAATGAAATATTAGCACAATTTGACAAACTTGTTGAAAAGTATAAAATTGTTAAAAAGGTGATTTCTACTTTAAAGAAGAATAATAAATTGTTGAATGCTAAAATTCAAAATCTTTCTTTAGAGGTGAATGCATCTAATAACAAAAGTGTAAATACCACTTTTGAATGCACACAAAGTTTCATGTATAGAGACTTGCATTATGATTTATCTAAACAATTAGCTGATAAAATTTATAAAAATAAAAAAAATTAGTTGCTTGAGTAAATGAGGTTTCATGTGAATTGTCTTTTGAATGAAGAAAGTTTAAAACTCCTTGCATTACTACAATTTCTAAAAATAAACATTGAAAGTCCAAAAATATAGATTTGGAAGAGGCCATGGAAAAATTTTCTTTAGATTATAAATGTTTAAATATGACCCTTTCCAATCAACAATCTGTAAAAGCTAAAACTGGACTTGGTTATTCATATTCAGAAAAATATAAAATGTTTCAATCTTCTTTTATAACAGGAAACAATTTAACTATCAAATGTATCTTCTACTATTTTCTCTTTATTTGTAGAATGAGTCATCTCAATAAACTATCAAATGCAATATAGAGTTAAAATTATTAAGCACATTTGGGTACCTAAAGGTACAATTGCTAATTAACGTGAAACTATGTGGATACCTAGGTTGAGGAGCAAGATTTGGGTACCTAAAGGTACAATTGCTAATTAACGTGAAACTATGTGGATACCTAGGTTGAGGAGCAAGTCAACATTGATTTTGTTTTTTTTTTGTAGGCCTGAAGGGAGGTTAAGGAGCATGGCAACATTGATCCTGGTTGCTCAATATATAATCAAAAGACAAGATTCTATTCCTTAGCCAACTCAAGAAGAAGAATAATGTAAGAAGTTGTTGATATATTGAAAGATGGTACCATTATACAAGCAAGAACTTATTGCAATGACACAAATTGTATACAAAAATTATTTCAGCAAATCTTCTCATAAGGGTAAGCTTCAGGTATATTGTACAACCCTGAACTATTGTAGGTACATAAAATTTTTCTTAATCTTTCTTTATTTTTTCTTTTTTGTTTTCTTTTTAGGGTTTTTTAATTTTTTCTCTTTTCATTAAAGAAATTTTTTTTCTTTTTTATTTTTATTTTGAAAAAAATAAAAATTAGCAAAATAAAAAAACTTTAAATATGCTTATGTATATGCTTTTACAAGATTGATTTGGATGATATTATCTTTTGTTTATAGGCTTGATTATATTATACAGGTTCACATGTTATTTTTCATATTAATTTATGTATTATATGTGCATATATGATTGATAATGATATGATTGCTTAACACACTGTTTCATGATATTTTTTCATATTATTTTTCATTCACTTAGTTTTATATGTATCGTGTTCGGTGTTGTGAAATAATAATAAATAGTTCTATATGTTGTTCATAAAGGATTTTTGGACATATCAAAAAGGTTTGAGCTTATTTTTTAACTTGAATACATTACCCTATGGTAGCGGTTAAGTTGCAACGGTTTTAACTGTTGCGTTAGATATCTATCGTAACAGTTTGTAATGCCTAATACAACAATTTACAATTTATAAAAAAACGTTACCATAGGTCTAATAATTATTCCTGTGCTTAATAATTACTCTGGGCTTAATAATTGTTTTTAAAGCCCATGTCCCTGACCGATTAAACGAAATATATCTCTCTCTCTCTCAAATCCTCACGGAAATCCCTAAGCCAAAAATTTCCGCTCCCTAAAATCGCCGTGGCGTCGTCGATCTCATCACTGAACTCGTCGCCGTTTCATCTTGGATCTCATTTCTAATCTCCTCTCCGATATTATCTTCAAGGTCGAGCTACTCTCGTTGGTTTGATCTTTCGTACTGGAGATCGAAAGACCCCTCGATTTCAGGTTTTTTCTTCGTTTGATGCCTTCGTTTTCTCTAATTGCAGTTGTTTTAGCACGGAATTGTTCGATTCCGCTCTTGATTTAGGTCTTATGCGGGGACTGGAAACCCTAGCAGTCGTTTTGTTTTTGGGCCGAGAAGTCTGCAAAACCCTATCTCAGTTCAACTGGTTGCTTAGAGATTATCTAAAGGCTCAATGCTGAGGTTTTGTAGCTCTTCTTCTGAAGTTTAATTACCTCGCAAATTTCCCATTCTCTCTTCGCCCCTAAATATTCATTTTGTGATTTTGAGCCTCAAATCTCATTGATGGGAGCTTTGTAGGGTTGGATCAACCAATCTCTTCTCATGATCTCTGACCAAATCAGGAGATTCAATCTTTGCTATTGGAGAACGGAAGGAGAACTTGAGCTCAAGTGATTTTTGATGTTTTCCCCTTTTTTCACTCCTTGTAGCGTCAAGTTGTTTGATTCCAAGCTTGATTTATATCTTACCAGCTTTAGAGTGCCGATGTGTAGGCCATGCACCTTAGCTGGTAGGGGTTTGATTGGTCTGACGAGGGTCTGAAACCCTGGCTAAGTTAGACTGGTTCCTTAGAGATGTAGCTAGGCTTTACATTAGAGATTGAAAAGCTTGATGCTGCGGTATTTTAATTGTTTTTCTGAAATTTTGTTATTTGTTTAGATATTTAATGGTGTAGTCATCTTCCAAGATGCACATAAAGAGGGTAAAATTCTTGTCTCTTTCCTTAATTTTTCTTTTTTCTCTAAAATTTCTTTGTCTTTTGTGTGCGTAACGTGATTGTATTTTCATTAAGAGTTTTCTTATTGTTAATTCTTGTCAGGTTATCATTGAAGGATTTAAGAGTTACAAGGAACAAGTTGCTACAGATCCCTTTAGTCCCAAAGTTAATTGTGTTGGTACTGTTATTAGATTTCTATTTGTTTTGCTCCTCTTCAATCCTCTGAATCTGAGTAAAAATCTTGATAGATAATAAAAATTGGTTATTTCTTCTTAAAATCAGCTCCAATTTCCCAGTTTAAAGGATTAAACCGTAGCCCTACATAATACACATATTCAATGTTACATTAAACGCTGGGCGCTTCTGGGCGTCGGACTTGGCGCCCAGCGCTTAGACGCCTAGACGGGCGCCTAAGCGGTTTCTGGGCGGTTTTTTTCTTCTGGGCGGTTTTTCTTTTTTTAATTGTGATACTTGAACAGAATCTCAAAACAAGAAATATATAAACTCTCACATGTGTTATGATATAAATATATTAAGTTAACATGTAATAAATTATAAATGCATATGACAGTCATAGGTGGCTAGGAGCAGTTAATTTCCTTAAGCTTGAAACAACAAATCTCAACTTCGCTAGCCTGCTAAACTGAAGAACATATAATAAAAAATCCTCACAAGTAATAAGAATCTACCAAACATGAAACATCAGCGGATTAAACTTACTATCTCTCTTAAACATACGGAAAATTCAAATGATCAGGGACGTTACCTTTCCAATCAACACAGATTTTACCTTTCCAATCAACACAGATTTCTCTTAAACAAGTAAGCAACAGACACAAGTAAGCAACCCAATAAAAATTATCAACCCAATCTGCTTAAGAGCACAGTCGAACCCAAGTTTGAAGTCGTGTTTTACTTACAGGTTGAAGATGAGAACGAAAGTCCAGCACGAGGATGAGAACGACGAGCTCGAAGATGAGCTCGAAGTTGGAGATGAGAACGACGAGCTCGAAAATGAGCTCCCAGGTTGAAGACGAGCTCGAAAGTCCAGCACGAGGTCGAACTTGGGTTTTGGCGGAGATCGAAGACGAAGCTCCAGCACGAGACCGAACTTGGGTTTTGGCAGAGATCGAAGACGAAGCTCCAGCACGAGATACGATCTCCCAGGTTGAAGATGAGCTCGAAAGTCCAGCACGAGGTTGAAGACGAGCTCGAAACTCCAGCACGAGATCGAAGACGATTTTTTCCTTTTGCTGGCGGCGTCGGTGAAACTGTAAAAGAGATTTAGGGTTGGGTTTTTTGTTTTGGGTTTTGGTTTTGGGTTTTGGGTTTTGGGTTTTGGGTTTGTGTTCGGGTTTGGGTTCTTGGGAGCGCCCAGGGATTTTTTTGGGCCTGAATTTGTGAGGCGGCCCGTGTAATCGGCCCGCTTAGCCCTGGGCGGCCGCCTAGGCGCTCGCAGCGCCTAATCGCGACCGCCCAGGACATTTTTGCACGCTCTGGGCACCGCCTCCGCTTAGGCGGGCGCCTAGGCGGCCGCCCAGAGCGTGTTTTACAACACTGCACATATTATCTGTGTGATACACAAAACTTAGTATTACAATGTTGTTACACGCATGTTATGGTAATATTATGATTTTACAAACACCTATTCAATATGAATGTCATTTTCTCATTGGAAACAATAAAAAAAATAGTGGAAACAAACACGGCTATTAACTACTCCAAGATAAATCATCTCAATAAATAATAGTTAGGTATGGATAATGTCATGAAGCTAGAAAGACATGGATAATAGATGCTTTCAAAATTAACGGAGAGGTGGTTGAAGGGTGCAGTTCCTCAATAATAGTTAGGTATGGATATAGTCATGAAGCTAGAAAGACATGGATAACTCATGTACCTTGAATTTTGAACTCTTTAAGATTTTTTTTTTGGATTTCTACTGAAAACTTAACAGAGAGGTGGTTGATTGCAATAAAAAACCTACTTTAAAGAGTTTCTAGATAAATTAAAATTAAAATATGGTTTCCATATAATCACGTATGTTGACTATCAGATTAGAATGTTGACTATGGTAAGTTGCTTTTAGTAATAGGAGTATGTACCTGCTGTAGTTTTTTTGTTGCTGTTGTTATCAGATTAGAATGCTAGGGTTTTGGTTGATTAATTATACAATACACTTCACATACATTTTTTTGAACATACATGCGACTCCTCCGAATCTTGTTTCAAATATGTATTGGTAACCTCCTGGTTAATGTCTGAATTTGTTGATGTGTCTTAATTTTGTGACACAGACATCAATAAAGTCACATAATCCTCCTTTAAGTTCTCAATTAAGACTGCTATTGCGAAAAGATATCTACGCATGTATATACGAGCGTATGAATAGCAACATATGTATACATGTACGGATGTGTGTATACATGTATATATCTATCTCTGTGTGTGTTTATCTATATTAGATATATAGGAGTTCCAAATTGTCAATCTAAAGATTCCACTAAAATTAACACAGAGGGCATCTTGTACTAATGAAAGATCTTTGTTATTGTTTTAGAAGATGTCATGTTGAGTTATAAAACCCCCTTTTTTTTACAAACATCTCATACTAACTTATAGAATGCTGAGATAATCCAGGCTGGGCAAACCTGGTTTCTCTAGCCGAATACACATCAAATATCGTAGCTGTGCAGTCAGATGTGTCAGCAACATGTTTCTTATGCGCATATAACCAGTGCACTATCCATGTATACTTCTATGGTTTTGATTTTATTCTTATCAGTCTTTATGAAATTATGAAAAATGTTTTCAGGTTGTACGACATCTTTTCTGGAATAGAAACTATGATGAACTTTTTGATAAAAGAAGTATTTGCTTAGCTTATGTTTTTATTCAAAAAAATTATTATTTTACGCTTAATTAATCAAGACATGCTTTTCTTTTGGTCCTTGAGAACTCACACGCTTTACCTGTTGATAAGTATCCTACAAGCTGATATATGCTAGAAACCACACATCTTACTTACCTTCTCTGATATAAAACACTAAATAACGATCAAACAAATACTGAATCCCTCCCTCAAGAACTGACAATTGCAGATGGTAAGGATAGTGAATCCAATTGAGCTATTCTCCTTTTAAGTTCTGTCGAGCAAACTGTAGCCATCTATTTTACTCATATAATTCAGTACATTGTGTAGCTGTTTGTTTTAAGTTCTGTCGAGCAAACAGCAGTGAGAATTGCAGTATATAAATATATGTTCCCAGTTCCACGAGGACTATCTTTGAAAAAAGTTACAGGAATGTTTGTGAATAACTTTGGGGTCATAGTATCAAATGAATGTTTTTATTCTTTGTTTAGCTTTGATATGGTAAAAAGATCTTCTTCAGATAATATGATATGCACTTCATCTTCTATCTATTTACATGTCCCATCATCTTCATGATTATTAATATCAATACTAATAAATTTATAGTCATTGATATTTTTTTCCCAGACTTAAGTTCGTAATTGATATTTGAACTACTTTAAATGTTATTTGATCTTTAGTGAAACCTTGTACTGTTTATAATCTTCTAATCTTCTGGCATAGCATTTTTGAGTATTTCCCATAAACCTCTTGGATTTCTTGGATCATAATAAACAAGTACAGTGGCAAATAGCTGCCTTAGACTATAAGGTATATGATACAATGATGCTTCTTACAAACAAAGCTCTAAGCTATTATCAGATTCTAATAATCCATGCAAGAAAGCTGCTTCATGAAATGAGCAAGCCTTTTCATTATTCACAACTTTAAGATTGACAAAACATGTAGTGGTTCTAATATGATTTAATAATATACATATATATTATTGTGTAGCTATTTGTTTTTGGTGTTCGTACTGGGTCCGCCTGTTTTCTTTTTTTTGTGTTTTTTGTTTTTGTTTTTTGTGTGCGTGTGTGTGGGGATATTGATTCTTTCTGTAATATGCTGATGTTGGATTCCACATATCTAATCTGTAAGCTCTTTTGTTGGTCCTGTGGCATGCTATTCATTCACATTTTGACTTTGGTTTGTCTTAATTGATACATGATATATTCTCCAATTAGTTTTTTATACTACCCTACCTTTGTTTTTCCGCTCCATAGAGAGAGCATTTTCTTGGTGATTTAATAAGGTGAAAATATCAAATATTGTCACATGAAATTGACATGAACTTCAATGCCACAGAGAATTGAGAATGTTCAAGCGAGTGCGGATTCTATCAGAAGAGAGAGGTGAGGATATGTATTCCTCGATGTAATTTAGAGCTCTGTTTTTATATTGTCTTTTTCAATTAAGAAGTGGTGATAATCGGTATTATTACCATCATTTTCTTTGAAAACCTTGTAACGGGGTATATTCGTTCGCATGTACGTCCATAGCATTTTGGCAAGCTAACATACGTGAGACCCCCTAATCCAGTAGTATTAAAGTCATTTTTGTTCTTTCATTGGTACCCTTAGCTGTCCATAGATAGAGGTAACATTCACTATTCTGGGTGCTTTTGCTTGCTGAAGAAAAGGGATCAGAGCTTCAGTTACTCTCTTCATACCATAATAATTTATGTTCAGGCATTCCTCTGCTGTCTCAGGAGTCTCTTTTGCCACTTCTAATAACTTCATGAATCTTACAAATCCATTTTCCTGCATCAATATTTGACCACTCCTTTCTGTTATGTACACAATCATACAATCATGAGCATGGCTCATTAGAGCAGCAAAAAAAAACTTTGTAGGATGCTGATGAGTTTTTAGTTATTTTAATAGCAGTTGAAATTTTACCTCTTCTTTGAAAGTAGGTGGAGTCCCTGTCATTCCACCAACTCCTGCATTGTTAACCTGTAATGTGATAGAAAACAGAATTTCACGTAGTATGTAAAGATGTTGGGTTTTTGTTCTTTCATTTCGCTTCATATGATTCTTATGTACAATGTTTATAACTTGTTTTTAGGTGTACGATCAGGCTGATGCATTTTCTTGGCAGATTTGAATGTCTGAAGTGTTTTGAAAGAATAAGATACAGAAAATAGGGCTGAACGAAATAACTTACTCTACCATCTTTTTTTGTCAAATGTGTCTGTATTAATTCTGAAACTGAGAATTTTTTGCTCCTTTCATCACGCTTCTGGTACTCATGGATCAATATGTTCTTTTAACTTCCTTTTCAAACATCTTTTTTCCCCAATTTTATTATCATCATTACAAAAATTATGCTGATTCATGGAAATTTACACAGGTACAGAAATAATGAAAGCCAAGATTGAGATTGATACTGACAGGTTCCTAGTGAGTATTTGACATTGAGGAACAAGTTTTTGGAAACAAATAGAGAATATAATCTTTGACTGAGAAGTTTCATATTTTGTAATCAAATGTTGATGTACATTGTTTGAATGTTAATTCTGTATGATATTTTCTGAGTTGAAATATTGGTAGTGTGGATTTAATACTTTATAGTTTTTATACTATACTGATGTATGTTTGCACTTATCATTATGGTTGATTATGCTCAACATTTTTACTTTTATATTGTGTATTAAAATTTGACTTGGCCATGTTCTTAAAAAGATTGTCCAGGTAATTGAATACTATATTATTTTGATGTAGGAAACCAAGAACAGCTCAATCAGAGCTGTTGCAATAGCTCGATCAAAAACGCTACGATAGCTCGACCAAAACTGTTACGATAGCTCAATCCAAACTGTTGCGTTAGGTATTTTAAAACTGTTGCAATAGCTCCAACTGTCGCCGTAGCTCTATCAAAACCATAGCTATAGCCTACTAAAACCGTTGCGTTAGATATTTTAAAACTGTTGCAATAGCTCCAATTTTCGTCGTAGCTCTATCAAAATCATAGCTATAGCCTACTAAAATCGTTGCGTTAGGTCTTTTAAAACTGTTGAAATAGCTCCAACTGTCGCCGTAGCTCTATCAAAACCATAGCTATAGCCTACTAAAACCGTTACGTTAGGTCTTTTAAAACTGTTGCAATAGCTCCAACTGTCGCCGTAGCTCTATCAGAACCATAGCTATAGCCTATTAAAACCGTTACTGTAGCTGCTTGCCTTTTAAAACCGTTGCGTTAGATGCGGGGGCAACGGTTCAAAAAACCGTCGCAATAGAGTTCAAAACCGTTACGGTAGAGGTAGGGCAACGACAGCATATGAGGCGGTTTGAGAACCGTCGCACTTGCTCAAGGGCGACAGTTCCATGGCTAGCGCAACGGTTTTGAACCGTTGCATTAGATCAAATATGTGATAGTGATATATTATTTGAATTTGTTTTATAAACTAATATAATTTTTTAATTATTTTTTACAAACATTTCTATGATATCTTATTAGTTTGTACGTGACTCTTAGTATGATTTTTGTACGCATTTCATATGTTTTGAAGTTATATTTGCATCACTCGTGCTATTTTTTTACCGATCTCTTTGTGGACTAGTATTTATTTCTTTCCTTACACCTTTGGATGAGTTTTTATCAGAAATTTTGAGCATAATGTATAACCATTGTTGTGTCATCTTTTGCTAATAACAAAAGGGGGAGAAAGGTTGAAAATTTGAAACTTTTACAAAATGGTTTCATGATTTATGTTGTGTATTCAAAGCTTTATGGGGAGTTTACTTTTATGAAAGCATAAATCGAGAGGGAGCTATGCATATATTTTTGTTCGCATGAAAAAGTGTTTATCTACTTATTTTCCTAAACATGTATCTCAAAATGCATTATATTTTGTATTACATTTTTGTAGTTTTTCTATTATCAAAAGGGGGAGATTGTTAGAATATTGTTCATACAATATCTATTATTTGAGTAATAACAAACTCTCATTTATTACTGATGATCATTTGAGATAATATATTTATGTATAAACATGTATACAAGAGATACGAGGCAAAATAATGCAAAAATCAATATGAAAATTGATTTTAGCTTTCACTTCATCGATGGTCATGAGGTAGCCATGGATGGTCAATAATCAATCGATGGATTACAATTCACAATTAGAGATAAAAATATAAACTATATTTAGCACCATTGATAGAGTATAGTGACCCATCTATAGTCAGCCACATCATCAATGGACTTTAGTGAACAATTGATAATTTTTAGAAATCAGAATTCGAGTCATCGATGGGCTATATGGTATCCGATAGGGGGTAAATAATGACAATCAAAGTTGCAAGCACACAACTATCAAGTTATAGTATAGATGATTGTCGAATCACACGAGGAAGGTGTTGTAAAAATTAATCAAAATTGGTTTTTTAAATAGTGTGTGATAATTAGGAGTGATAAAAGTGGTTGTGGAGAGATAAATAAAGTGGTTGTGATTATATGCAAATGGAAACAAAACGAGATTAATAGAAGGAAGGATGAAGAAAATAAAGCGAAATAAAATCAAGAAGCAAATAAAAGAAAAATCTTGAATAAAGAGAAAAATCAAGAAAGTAAAAGA